ATCTTACATCCAGGGCGGGAGAGGAAAAACGCTTCCACACCACCACCCAACAACACACGGACACGAGGGCGACGCTTCATGCCAAATCCAACGCCCATAGAAGCTACCCCCCTAGCTCCTGCGTGCGACAACGTTTCATGTCCCCGTGATGAGGGGCTCTCTGAGCTGTCCCCCCTCCCCCCCAACCCTTCCCCCCTCGCCTCCAGGGCTGCCACTTGTTGGTGGCTCGGATCCATCTGACAGCCTCCTCCCCGGTTCACCACCGCCTGCCGCTGCTGCGGGAACTCCTGCGCCTGCGCCGTCGCCAGGGCCAGGAGGACTACTTCTGTCCCCTGACTGGCCGTCCGGTTCCAGCGCTTGGCCCTCTGACGGTTGGTTGTTGTCCGCGATCCCGAATCTGGTGTTTGGGTTGTGGTAGAGGTGTTGGCGTGGTCCGGAGCAAAGAGAGAAAGGTGGTTGTGTCGAGGGCGAAATGCAGCAACGGGAGGTGTCGGTAGACACATCCTGAATACTCCTATGCCCCAGCTGATCGAAAAAAATGACGGTCCGTGCGTCCGTCCGTCTCGTCGAAAAGAAGTAAAACGAGCGTCACGGGGGTGCTGGTGATCGCGGGAAAACGACAGCATCGGGGCGAGATAATTTTCGCACACACAAAAACGTGATCGCCGGCCCCGAGTTTGTACATGGAGGCGAACGATGTGCTCCTCGCGACACATGTTGAGCCGTCCGATCAGCGAGACACACACCTTCATCTACCCCGACGAGAGCGCTATCCGTCCAACGTTTGCCCAGCAGGTCGACCCATCGAGAAAAAGTAAAAGAACAAACGTGGTGTGTCCAAAACACACAACAAAACAACCCGTCCCAGCCAGAAGTTTGGAAACTTTATTGCCGACGATTCTATTTCTTTATTACTCGAAATCTGCGGCGCCTGGCAGAACGCCTAAGAATACTACCGCTTCGGGGGGCTAACCGTCCGTTCGAAAGAGAACAAGGCCCTCCTCGACAAACAAACAGATAGATGACAAGGCCGGACTGTGTGCAACCTCCTGCCCGAGGACCCCCAATAAACGGTTCCGTGGAAAACCTTCCGCTCGAAACGCTCTGCCTGTTGCTTGCTACTGGTGTTGGCAAATCGGACTATTTTTAGGGCAAACCTGGCACAAGCGATAGCACCACGGCGTCAGAGGGTTACGGTCAGATCGGGGGCAAGGTCTACGGCGAGGCTGGCGTAAACGATACAATTGCCGCTAGGGTCTCGGGAAGACTAGTCACCTCAGGAACAGCGACAGCTGCGCGAGCCCAGCCAGGAAGCCTACCGACTGCGGGGCGGCGACGAACCAATCCGAGGTAAGGTAGCCGTAGGTCGCCCACAGCGCCGCCGCCGCCGCGATGGTGATGCTCAACGGCAGGTACATGCCCGACGTTGAGCGGGTGCGCAGCACCTGTTATTGTTGTGTTGTTGTTGCTGCTGTTGTTGTTGTTGAAATTGGCACCCCAAAGCAAAAGGCCAGTACATCGATTGTTCGGCAATCTTGAGGCCAAAAATCCAAGGTCAGCGTAACCGTCAACAGGAGCACACGAAAAAAAAAACAAAAAAAAATCACGCGCAAGCGCTGCACACAAAAAACGTCAAGTAGTCTCCTCTTGTAATGTATGTGTGCGCCTCCCTCTCCCCCCGCCCCCGTGTGATATCCTCGTCGCCCGTCACCCCCACCTTCCAAGCGAGCTCAAGGGGCGAGGCGTAGAGGCAGACGTTGAAGAGATCGACGAAGTAGCCTATGCTGTCTGCAGCCGTGGTGGAAGACCAGACGACGGTCATTACTACCGCCGACGTCACCATCAACCTTTTGGAACCAAAAGAAAAAGAGCGACACAAGGGAAGGGGGGGGGTAGGGAGAGACAATACAGCAACAGGCAGAGACAGTACAGCGTGAGACATAGACAGGGGGAATAAGAAGAGAGACACACACGCAAAAGGCCTCTGAGATAGAGTGTGTGTGGGGGGTGTTGAAGGAGGTACGGAGGGTGAACAAGGAATGGGG